AATTTATACTTTTCTCACTTGTCCTACTTTCTCTGTTGTATTGTATAATAACTATTAGAAGCAGTCAAAACTCCAGTGCGAGCTTGTGATTCACTAATGCTTCTGCATAGCATATAATAATTTTGTCAAGATAATGTCTTCATTTCTTTAGATGATTCCCATTGCATTTTGTCACCACTTATTTTTTACATACATTACATTACAATTAACTGTGTGGGCTATCTTCATTATTGCTTATCTCAAAGGAAACATGCTTCACACAAGTGCATAGACATAGCTGCTTTGAGATATGATGAGACCCTATGCACTCTTCGCACAGTAAAAATGAGAATATCACTTTGGCTTTGTGTTTGGTAATTAAGTTCCACACCCAGTTCTTTCACATGCAGCATGTGACCACAGGGGAAGCAAGACCCAAAGAGTGTAGACGGTTTCTCTCATGTTCTGCAGCACCTTTTTCTGCTAGCTAAGCACTGACAGTGAATGTCAAGTGGCCTTTTACATTGACCTCTAAAAGTATTGTGACTGCACGTTTTGTAATGGGCACTTGTTATAGGTGACCCACTACCATTAACCTTCTCGTGCTATTCCAACTGAGTAATGTCTGAATTAGAGCAATGCTTTTGCCACTCAAGTTCATGATCACTGTTAGGAATGTGCATAAAGTTTGACCAAGTGAGCACTTTACTGCAGATGCACTTCTGAAGATGTAGTGCTGCAAAGGCCTGTTGTGTTTGGCCGCCGCTTCCCAAGAGTGGCTACTAGGGTGATGGCCACAGGACTCAATGGTATGTCTTGACCTCCCTAGGACCATTTTTACGACCCCGACCTCATTATAGGGAGGGCTGGCTGTGTGTTGACACAGAATTAACCATCCACACCATAGGATTTCTTGAGACAAAGCCCGGGTCACAAAGACATTCATTTTTTAACCACTGTATTTGGGGACAATTGTCCAGTTCCATGACAAGGAAGCCAGGGACTGCACAGATCTGCATTGGCAATACCTGCATGGGTCACACCTTTGTCATTTTTTGTGAATTAAGGATTCGTGTATTGGATTAGTTAGATACTGTTTTCTTCAATTACAGCCACTGATCAAAGTCTTGACACCAGACGTGCTCCACACAAGTATGCAGAAAGCAGAGCCAATTGGTGATGGACACCAAACACCCCGTCATCAAGCTTCAGGGGGCCCCAAATAGCCTTCTATTCATCGGCCTGTACAAATCAGAGCCTGGGCACAGAGCCATATTATCTTAGCTGCCCTTTAGAGCACCCCACTAAGTCAGTGGCCATTGTTGGCCAAGAGTTGGTGTTTGTGTACACAAAGCTGATGAAATTCACGGTTTGAATTGGATACAGCTAAACATAATGCCTAATAAAATTTGTTCTTGACTTCAGTCAAAGTATGTGGTTTAATTAAATGATTATCAAGGACTACTGACCAATAACAATGAGTACAGGGCAGGCAATACGCTGTTTCATGGTCCACACAAAATGGCAAAGGTCGATGCAGTATCTTATTTCTAGTAATGACTTTATTTGCTGAGTAAAATCTGGAATGTAAATTGGGTTATGCAACATTTGGTATGTACAATGTCTTTTGTATGGCAGAAGTAATTACTAGTATAAGTATACTCTTTCTACAATACATAACAAACCCAGCTCACGCTATAACTCAAGCCATTGTCATTACCTGCAGTTTCTTGAATGGCCATTATAATTAATTACTTTAATTAAAAATTTAATTTAATTTATAACTGTACATAACTTTTCAGTACTCCCTTTTTAGACTATTTGGCATTTATTTCTTCTTTTGGTTGCATGACTATTATTAGACATTGCACCTGCAGACTGAAGACCTACAACCTCTTTTTTTTAATCTCTGATGCTTCCCTTTGGCACTTAGTATTAAAAGTATTATCAAATAATTCCAATTTACCTCCCAGAAGTGGACTTTTCAAGAAATTGCCCTTTCCCTTATCAGTTAGCCCAGTCAGCCATTCTAAAAATACATAGCATTACTTGACACACAATCGAGAATGTCTGTAATTGAATAAAATACACTCATATGTGCTGACACAAATAACATTAGGTGATTCCCAGACGGTTAGGCAAGAACTCATGTTTTGCTGAACAAGATATTTATGGTAGCATGATCTAATTCTTCAAGTGTGAAACCTGTTAAACAAAAGGCAAATGTGTCCCTGGCTGTCATGCAGATTGACTTGTCTGTGGAGTTGCTATCTTCCATCTTGTGCAAACAGTGAAACCTAGCCAACAGAGTACTCATTTTGAGCAGTTAAAATCTGATCAGTAGAACACTCAACACAAGTGCACTCCAGTTCTCTCCCTCTTTTTTCTTTTTTCTTTCTGCCCATTAAGCTCTGGTTACCCCCATCGCGTCGAGCCGCTTCATTAAGTAAGCATGGCTGCGGGGTTGAATTCGCACTCACTCTGCCCTCTCCCATGACCTCGTGCTTGCCAGGCACCACACACAAGAACAGGTTAGCATGCGTGCACTTTAAACGCATGTACGCAGCTTCGTTCACACTTGCTAGTTTGTGTTCTGGCCCTTAATAGAACATGTCACACTTCCTAATTGCGTCTGTTAGGAGTATGCGGTGGCTTTACATGTACCCACTGTGTGCCCCTCAATCCCCCCTTTACTCTCCTGCATGGATACACTCGTCTATTGCTTTGTCTATTGGTCAGTGTCAAAACTAATCAACAAAGCGATGTGAATATAGCATCAGGATTCAAGTCCCCACCAACCAGTGGTGGTACTAGCAGAGGCCCGGTCGTGCTCCACTGACTTCCCTGGGATAAATGGAGATAATGGGAGTCATATGCTAGCGTTTGGTTTGGGGGCAGGCCTATACAAAACATTTATAGTTGTCATGGGGTTAAAAAGCAGAAGGGATTGAAAATAATGTTGAACTAAAAGTGCATTTAAGAGAAGTATTGTGTTTCTTTATCCATTTTTGTATAACTGTTCCTCCTTTCGTCATGTGCTATGAGACCACAAATGTACTCAATAGCTCTGCGTACTCTCCAAGGGACATTATATAAGTGTAACCGCCCCAACTTAACATCAAGCCACATGTTACATGGGTAGGATAACGTAGTGCGCCTGGAAGATGCATTAGCCTCACGTGTTGCTCCACTGCAGAAAGCTGTCATTAGCCTGCAGTAGATTGAAGGATATGGACCACAAAGGGGCTCTCTAATTGGTCGCTGTGTTTGGTGGTTCACTAATGAAGGATTAAAGTTCAGGCTCAAGGTTACAGGGTTACTTCTGTGTTTGGCATAGGTTTGGGATAAATAAAGTTACCAAACATAAGGGAGGCCTATGTAATGAGAAACAGCCTGTACTCTGCTATATGGAGATGTTATTGCATTGCCTGGAATGTTCCACCATACAGCATTAAACTTATCTCCATGGAGACAAGCAGGTGACGCCCACCATGCCAGGTTACAGTTTAAATCTGTGATGGGGCAACAACACTCACAAGACAGTGTTTTTGAGCAATAAAAACAAAAAAAATTTTTCCAGAAAAAGCCTTGGAGACAAGCAGGTGGTGGACTCTCCACCAAAAAGTTACATGGAACACCTTTTAAATTGGCACAGTTTTAGATGGAAAACCCAGAGTCTTTCTGTTTCGACTAAAAAGCATGGACTTCCCTATGGTCAACATTATCCATTGTAAGCTTCTTATTTGCCTATAGTGTAAATAGTAACATTTTTATATTCCTATCTCATAACCTTGTTCTAATTGACTTTGTTGCTATGTAGTATGCCTGCATGTGTTATTACTTCAACAGCAAGTTTGCGGTTGGCTATACTGTGCAGCCATACTGAACCTGGCTGTTATTTATTTACACTGCACAGTTATCATGGGGCAGAATCTGCTACACTAAAAGACATGTCTGGACATGTTTGCCCCATATGGCCCATCTGCCTCAAATTTAATCCTACCCTCAGAGTGTTTAAATCGTTTTTGTTTACTGCTACTGTCGAGGCTTCACCCTTTCTTTTCAGCCACAAGCAGTGAATGACGCAGCTGCCTCTCCCTATAGGCCTACGCTCCGTTTCTATTCATGTTTTGCTAGCCACATCTGCACTCATATGATGTGATGGATGTCTTTTCCAGGACGAACTAAACACTGCTCTGCCTTCCACCATGGTTCCCATAAGTTCTGTGGCTTCTGCTGACTGTAATGGATAAACACATTAGCTTGCACTTTTAGCATTAGTGTGTGGAAGGGTTTTAGCCAAGATGGTATATACAACTTGTAAAGAGGCAAAGTGCCAAACATTTGATTTATTACCATATTTTTTAGACTCTGGCCCCATATATCTAAGTGAGAAGGTTGACTTTTTGGAGTATAATGTTAAAGGTCCTATATGACACAAAAATGCTTCCTGTGAGCGTTAAGTCATGTTAGAATGATGTTACCTTTTGAAATATACCTGGAGTTGTGTTCTGTATCATTCACACATGTTTGAGTAATCCTTTATTATTAGTCTGTCTACATTTCCAAAGATCAAAATGCTCTGTTCCACCTTGCTGTGATGAAGCGGTAGTTTCAAGTTAATAGCTACCTTTAGTTCAGTAGAAATTGGCAATTCCAGGGCTGAAATTATCCAAATGATTCTAGAGAAGCTGTGTAGAGTTTAAAAACACAGTGGAGCACTTCCTGTATGACCACGGGACATCATACGGTGTAGCAGAGTGTTTTCTGTTTGAGAGAAGAACTCAACCTAACCTAAATATGCAGGGTTAGTGTGTTAAATGTGTATGAATGTTTTTGATGAATTTTGATGATTATAACATAGAACATGCAACTTAAACTCTAGAACGTTCAATGCTGATTTTGTATTTTTAGTTCTAAATATAGGCCCATATTTTTTGTTTTTCTTTTTAGCATGTCTTTTTAAAACTACCCAAATGTGCTTACTCATGTCACTGATAATATATGTGTGTGTTTTTCAGTCACGCATTGGCTGAATTGTGACTCTCCGTCAGCATTTGAGGCCAGCTCTGCAGATGGGAGGCCACCAACCTGTCATCTGCTCTGCTCAAATGCACCATTTCCTCTCAACTCCTCTTGTCTAAGATGGCCGTCCATGGGCTTCTCCTGCACCTGACCCGCCTGGAGCAGACATGGTGATCATCTTCTCGAAAACACTGGAAAAGAAGAAGGGTGTCAGTGATGTAAGGTCCAAGAACAAGGAGAGACTGCTGGTGAGAACAAATATGTGAACTTTACTTGCTATGCTAGGCTATAATCTATTTTTTTAAACCTGCCAGAGACACATTGTTCAGTTTTGTGTGATTAGATAGGCCCACCAACAAAGCATTTAATGCTCAAATCATAAAAAAAACTGAGTAAAGTACAACTTCTCAAAAAAGTTAGGTTTGCTTACCTGTTAAAATTGCTAAAACAGAATCCAGATGAACAGCTTAACCTTCCATCTATCCTATTGGTTTTACGAAGTTATCATAGTCATATGAAGTCCATCATTTACTAACTATCTTGAATAACTTTATTTAAAAGTTAAACACAAAGCTGCCTTTTTATGACAAATTGATAGAGTTTATTGTGTTAGCATAACCCAGTTTCCAAGTTCAAAGTCTGGTAACTGAGGAAACATTTGTTGTTGTGGTAATGACCTAAGGTGAGTCAGTGCATTGAATGTCAGTATTTTTGTTCTTAAGCAGACAGTCACCACCCAGCTGTAAGACGTAAGCTGAGAGGAGCTACTGTCAGGTTAGAAGGCAGGAGACATGTGAGAAAACCAAACCTTTGTTCACTAAAGATAGCTGGAGATATCAAGTTATGTTCTTTTATAGTGCATCAATGAATTATTGTGTTGACATTCATATCATATCTTTATTTTGCTGACTAAAATATTTTCAACAATAAACAATCCCAGTCTCCCAATCCAGACCATAAAACACATGTCTGTACATGTCCCATGAAGCAATACAATACAGTTAATCATAGTTAAAACATATTTTCTGGTTGACTAAAACTATATGGACATTTTCTTCTGCTAATACTAGTCTAAAATAAAAAGAAATATGTGACAAAATATTGACTAAAGGTAAAAATTATGTACTAAAAGAAAGGAAAAATTCTTCCAAGACTGTTGTAAACGTGTAGATTTTGAGGGTTTAATAATAAACAATTTATATACAATAAACAATGTATTTATAATAGCATATTTCTGTATTTATATAAAGCACCTCCTACCACCTTATTTTCTATATCTATATCTATTTCTATATCTGTCATTACAGTAAGTAAAAGTTACTATTCTCACAGCTATTTGCATTGGAGAAATCATTTGGAAGCAAAAACAGGAAGTGTGGAGCCACAAAAACAAACGCAATGTCCGCTCCCCGGCAGTCTGGGTCCTGCCCCACATCATACAACTCACAGACCACAATCGGTTAAATGATCTGTTAATCTCTCCATCTTTAGATGTTACATGAAAAGGAAATAATAAATAATACATAATAAATAATAAATATATAAAAAATATTATATCTGACAGGATTGTACAGTATATTTGGTACTGTTTGACTGAGCCTCCTTTTACTCACTTACAGCGTGAGCTCCACACCATGAGCAGAGGGACCACCCTCTTCTCCTGTGGAACTGTGGGTAGGTTCTCTCTTCTTGGTCTCTTTTTACTTGTGTTGGGTGAATCCATGGTTCTGTCTGTGGTCCATGTTAAATGAATGGCATATTTCCTGCTATAATGGGCCTCGTCAGGTTTCACTGTTTATCTGCTTGTCCACTTTCTCTTTGGGTGTGTGTCTCTCATCCCCCTCTTATGATCAGAGTGCACCTGCCTTCACACAACGTTGCACAGCGCTCTCACGGGAGGCAAACTGTAATTGAATATGCTGTTGCCTATGTCAACAATTTCCCTTTGGCTCAGTTAGTGTTGCAGTAATTACCCCCTGTGTTAAAAGACATGGTTGTGCAAATACAAGTCTATGCTTCAGTTCATTTCTGTGAGGGACTTACAGCAACATTACTGTGTCACCACTGCATAGTGTGAATACTGTGACCATAGTTTCCATTTACTAACTCAGCAGTGTTGTTGACTACAACAAGAACAGAATTTAAATATAGTGTTGTCTTTATGTTGCATTTCTTAATAGACACTGTTACAGTGACTATTAGAATCTGAATATGAACTATATTTTGTTGCAGAAGCGGACAGGTGGCTGGACATGGGTCGGGGGTGCGCCCTCCAGCAGGCAGCTCCCTGCCAGTCGGGGTCCAGTTTGGAAAGCCTATGGGACATACTGCCTGCACAGAGCAGCCACCCCTGGGCCAAAGAGCCAGGCTCCTCCACTGCCATCACCAGTCTGATCAGAGACCTCAGCCTTGGGGACAGCATCAAGACCGGCCCCCTGTGTCTGAGCACCACTACCGCTCCCAGCCAGGCTCCTGCTGCTCCACCCAGCAAACGCCAATGTCGCTCCCTGTCTTTCTCTGATGAGTTTGGGAGTTTCCGGTCGTGTTGGAGGCCACAGGGCTCCAGAGTATGGACGACAGTGGAGAAGAGGAGGTGTCACAGCGGGGGCAGTGTCCGTGGGAGCAGTGCTCACTCAGGGAGTACTCTGCCTGCCATGCAGCGCAGCTCCAGCTTCAGCTTGCCCTCACGCTGCAGTCTGCCCTTAGACGGACCACTGGACCTGCCTCTCTTCACCCAGCGCCTGCCTCTCCATCACCAGTTCACTGCCTCCCCCGTGTCTCCCACATCTCCCCCATCGCACCATCAGCACTCCCGGCACCAGCACTTCCTCCGGCCCCTGTCCCTGTCTCATGAGCAGATTAGCCTGCCTGAGCTGCAGAGAGAGGAGGCATCTGAGGCCAGCTCTCCAGACTCCACTCCAGAGCTGGGGAGGCGGGCTGCGCAGAGGTCCCCAGGGAAGGGCTGCCTGTCCCGCAGCAGGTCCCAGCCCTGTGTCATTGATCAGAAGATCGGCATGAAGCGCAGGAGGCCAGAGGACGCCCAGGAGCAGAGGCCCTCTCTGGACCTGGCCAAGATGACTCAGGTTAGTCATGTGCATAGGCACAGTGAGCCAGCTGTTCAAATGTATAAATCTTAACTAAGTATCACATTTGTTGCTGATTAAACATAAATCGACTTCATGGCATTTGAAATCTTCCTCTTTTGAACCAAATGTCTTCTCTCTGGACAAACAAACAGTGCTCTGTTCACCTTCACAACACTGAGGCCATCTCTGCTTCTGATCAGGATTAAATGAAGGCAAATTAGGTTTCCTGGGCCGTCAGAGGGGAGATGTGGGACTAAGTGATCTCAGGCCTCCAGCTCAGGGAGTGGTGCTCACTAAAGAAGCATTCCTCATGTTCGGTCACGCTGCCTGGCTCTTCGCTTGAGCAAGCCTAGCTCCGGTTATCATTTCATTTGCCCTGTTGTGTAAACTGGACGTCCAAAAGTTCAAGCCCATGTCTGTTCCTAACACTACACAGTTGTATTTACAGCATTAGCATTTGTTTCATTTCTTCCAGACTAGGTTTGCTTTTGTGTGAGGATAAGGGGAGCCATGGTAGTACATTATTAATGACCCAACCCAAAATAGTTTTCTAGTATTATTTTTAGGAATCTCTTTCTGATGTTTTGGAGTGGATAGGATTTATAGCAGATCCACCTCCACTCCCAAGAGAACTGCTGCATCATTAAAAAAAACTGCTCAGGAAATATAATTCTGTTTTTAGACTATTCTCATCAGTCCCCAGTGCACATCTGATTTATCTCCAAAAGCAAATGCTAAATTCTTCCTCTGTGATACCTCCTGTCACGGAAAAAGCCGCCATTTTCCAGTTCTCTTTTAGAAAGCCCCTTCCATTTATCCCCTCCCTTCCCTTTTCCAGAAGGATTGTGTTCCCAGTCAGTCACCCCGAGGACCTGGCCAGAGTTGGATCAACAAGGCTTTGGTAATGGAGCCTAGCGAGCATGTTTCCTCTATTCATGCCAGCTGCTAAGAGAGGAAAAATCACGCCCGCTCGTCATACATACTACATAAAAGCGCACATGGAACTGTACTTTTGCCTCTAGGAAGGTGCTGCTTTTCAAGGACATTGTAGTATTTAGTCTAGCTAGCTTGTCATCTCTACAGACACTTGAGTTTTATTTTTGACTGCACAATCGCGTGAGTTAAAAGTCTCACCACCTGTGTTTACTTTCACATGCTTTTGTACCTGCAGGAGGTGATGACATGATGCTATGTTAGGGCTGCCCTCATATCACTTTAACATTCACTAGCACTGGGTCAAATGTTTCCCAAACAGTAGGTAGGTAGGTAGAGAGCCATTGAGTCAACACGACAAACACATTTTTTAATTGAGAAATTCTGAGTAAATGCACTTCTAGAAAAAGCTATACTACAAAAAGGCATAAGCAGACAATGTAAACATGCCTAAGAAGCTGTTTCACTTTTTCTATAATTAAAAATGCATGGGTTACAGTTACAGTTAATTCTATCGTGGGTAAGTTTCCAGGGCAAGATTTAAAGGATTTTCAATGACATAAGATCCAAAGAGTCACATAGATTGATGTAACCAATACCAAAACACACCATGAATTAGTTTTGTGGTTCCAGTTGAGACCCACTTAAAGTATACTTTGACCCACAAGATACACCCAGTTTTAATCTACACATTTCAGAAGTAATTTATATTCCTCTTAAATGATATAAACAAAAGTTACATGCCCAGATAAGCTACTAAAACCTGCTATGCTAACCTTGAATGCCCCACCTTTGTTAAGTGCAACATTTATTAGCAGATTTCTATCTACTCAGAGGAAGTGAGGATTTCTTGCGTCTCAGTTAAAAGCCAAGGGAGTGCCTGTACCTGACAAACATATAATGGTAGAGGATGCAATGATGAATTTTTTTTTTTTTTTAAATAGGGTTCGCACATGCAGTGTTGTTTTGTGTTAGGGAAAGAATTACTTTTTTCATGATCATCAGCATCTAAAATGCAGCTTGCTTCCTTTTAAATAACAAATGTGCCCAGTTCAGTTCTACAGAAATGTAACTTTGATTTGACTATCAATAAATGGGTTTACTCCACACCTGCTCAGCTGTCACCCTACTTCACCTAAATGAAATGTGTGTTAATGAGTAATAGAGGCTAAAGTACAGCTGAAGTGCAGGTACAGTATTTGCCACAGTGTGTTGTAGAGAGTCTCACCGGTTTAGGGTGAGAGCTCATGACGGTTCACACGTATCACGCCTTCAGTGAGGCCTGCTCTAACTCTGTCTCCAGATTCTCCTGCACGTCAATGGAGCGGCTGTGAATTCTGCACATGCATATCGTGCTAATCAGCGAGACCCAGGCTTCCAAGGGGATTTACAGAGACCAACCCCAGAATGCCTCAGATAGTCCTCCAGTTAGACGTGTGTCAGGACAGTGGCTCATCTCTATCCCCAACTGCCCTCCTCTCTCCCTCCCTCTCGCCTTCCATCCAGTTGTTGTTTTGTTTTCCTGTTTTGATTTGTGCAGTAGATAAACAAGGTCACTTGAATAATAACTGTTCACACACATCTTACTCTTTGGATTACTTGGTTGTTAATTACACAGCAATGGCTCAGTCAGTGTATAGTGTACACAACAGTGATGTAATAAATGTATCTTTTATTCTTTCTTTATTTGAAACATAGTGGTGCTGTTGAATATTCCAGAAACTATATTTTAAAAAGCATTGCAAATAAACAACAGAAATGTGCAGCTTAGAACATTTACTTGGTAAGGTGACTGTCTCTGGTTGGCTAGTGACCATCTATGCCAACTTGACATCCATTTTAAGTAGCGTAGCAGAGGTGGTAAACTGTTGCAGTGTATATGTGCATGTGTGAGAGCATTAACAAGTATGTAGTGAAGAAAGAGGCTATTATTTGTATACAAACACACTACTACTCTTTGAAGACCTCCTCTTTGCCTCTCCCCTCCTCTCTCCATCTCACTTCATTCCTGGCATGGCAGTCATGGTGATCATAGCTGAGCGGCGAGCCCCAAAGGCTTGTGGGAACACCTATGTGGGTGTCCTGAGGTACAGCGACTGTGCAGGGACATGCTACAACATGTCCAAAGGTGTGCGCCATGTGCGTCACTCATCGCTCGCGTGCGCTCACACATTTTACCTGCGAAATTCACCCAGACTCTTGTTTATCGGCATCACCTTCCCCCAGGGCTTTGGCTGCATTTGAGCTGCACCATGGTCGGTGCTGCACTAAGCACTGAATATACCAGAATAGTTTGAGCTGTCCAAAGTTTGCACAGAGCATACCCTGAGGTGCCTTTGGACATGAATACTGTTGTACACATTACTATTACTTTGAATATGTGGCTTACGCCCTGCGTTTGTACTTAGCAGTGTGTTGCTATAATTACACAAAGCTTATTTTCCTGTTGCTCGACAAATGAACTTGCTATGGACATTTTATGTGCAAATATTTGTGATCCACTATAACATACTATAGAAAACTATTGATTACACTGTGTACTGTACATATACAATTGTGTATGTGCACGCACATTTAGTTTATAGGACAGATGGAAAAGTATTTGTGTGGTGCTGACCAGAACATCATCAGATCATGTTGAGTGTGTTTGTTGTCTCAATATACATTATCACATACTTCACTCTGAGCGATGGAAAGATGCTTGTCATCAGGGACTTCTTCTATATGCTCTCAAGAGTAAAGCTCCAGTGCAGGGTACACCCTGTCCCCTCAGCCCAAGCCCTGCACTAGTTTATTTTAGAAAGCACACTGCCTCCCTCCTCCTCCCCTCTCCTCCCCCCCTCTCCTCCCCCCTGCTTGCTATCCGTCTGTCGTGATAATTAGTAGTAGGAGTAATACATAGGGTTAAACATAGGGACTAGGATAAGTGCTCTGAAATCCCCTTTTCCACTCCAGTTGGGTAACTCCTGCAAATCACCTCCAGCCCTGGTGCCCATAGAAGAATGATTGAGCCGCTTATATGTAAAGTTAATGCATCCAAGTGAGACTGCCAAAACTCTGGACTTTTCCCCCTTTTCGCTTGCCGTTATAGTGGAAAAAAGATTGAGTCAGTCACTGGGAGCACTCACAAACCGGGATACACCCAGTTCATTGTAACAGGAAAAGCTATGTCCGAACACATGCTAAGGAACATTAGCGTTGTCCGTCATGTAAGCCCTGGCTTGTATAGAGCAGACCTCATCTCTATTCACCTCCATGCTCCCAACATCTGCTGTCGGGCCACTCCAGAGATCATTAACCCCTTCCCTGCACGGTGCACTTCTGTCTGTGGACAGAAATGTAGCATGAAAAGAACATAAAAGACAAGCTCCTCAGAAATACAAAGGTCAAGTGTGGAGAGCCTGGCACATGCTCCAAGAGGCATTCACACATTTAGTCCAATTGTCAGTGTTGCATTACCTAACATCTCACCGGTAGTAGTAAAAGTTGAATGCAAACACGGATGCTTGTAGGGTATCTGGTGATAAATAACCAGAAAAGAGGAACTTGATAGCTTTTGCGGTTTTGTGGGGGCATGTTTTTTGGTTGCAACATGGCGGAGTCATAAACAGTGGGCCTGCGTGTTTACATGTGTGGAACGCTAAGCTGCCTTTCTGCTGCCCAAGTGAAACTCAATCTCAAACTGACATTTTGGAAAGCCAAGAGTTCACGTTTGCCATGACAAATCTGTCAACATTTACAGCCTCATTAGTTATGTTTATGATAAAATGGGTTCATATATATCCATATCCAATAGTAATGTGCAACCAGGATTTTATTATTATTGTTGTTATTGTTATTATTTTCTGTTTTCCAACTATTCTAACTCTTTCAAAGTCTTTGGTAACTGCTCCACTCATATTACTACCCTTGCCATTGCCAACTAACCAAATTACCCACAATATGCTCTTCCACCTGATGTTAGTTAAAACCACTTAGATTTAAATCTGTGTTTTGGCCCTGGTCAGTTGAGATGTTATAGCCATCAGCTGTTTTCATGAAACCGGAAAATACTACAGTTACAATACTTAAGTTGCTGTTATTGCTACTTGATGTGCATAGTCTTGTTATCCAGTAGAATCTCCACAAATGTCAACATTCCCATCATTCTCCCAGTTGTTTGCTCCTGAGTTACATTTACTGCAAGAGATTTATTGAGATTTCCTGTGTTCAGTTTGGACTCACATTGTTTGTGAAGGGAACTTGCTAGTGTCTGCCCAGCACGCTATTCTCTGCTGTAGTACAAGTTCCTGCTCATTGTTTGGTTCAACATTATCTTAATAAAATACAGACAGCGCTGATATGCTTATGTAGCAGTGTTTGCTCCTCTTAATTTGATTTGGCATGCTTTGCAAAATCTTACTATACACTTACTTTGCCAATTACTATACTGCACTATCTGCTAACCCAGGATTCTTTGTCCAGTTGGTAGGTTTCAGATAACATCTGAACATTCTATAGGCTAATTATATTTAATCCAGACATTTACATTACATACATTTATTACCATTTTCAAATTCCTGTTTTTTGTTGTAATATAGTGAGTTCTTGGAAATGATCAGGTTCAGAATTTTTTAATTTACTTTTTGCTTTCATGACAAAATATCTAAAATGTAATCAATAGGGAAAACTGGGGCCTGCCCCCATTTGAGAATATGACATTATCACATTATAGAATCTGAAAACCATCAATATGAGTGTCCAACTGTTCTTTTTATTGGGGTCACAACTAAACAAGGTTGAGAGCCTCTGCAATGCATAACCACACTGCCAAATTCCAGGTGTTTAATTCTGACTAAAATGATATCAGCTTGATACTATGTGAATTTTATGGTGTGGGTGGATAAAACTGGCAGGTTTGTGTAGTTTATCACTAATATAACTGTTTTGTTCAGCTTTTTCACTGATCAGAACTGATAAGAATTTAGAACCTGAAAACCAGTCTACCTGTTTCAACTAGTTTCTATGGATGTCATTGCTCTGCCTGGAATATTCCACAGTATGACATTACACAAAAATACCAAAAAAAATGGGCATTCTGACAGTGAGTGAGGTTGCCTTTCCACAGATCTGACCTGTAAATTTGTCTGGAATGTTTCACACTGGTATTTAGCCTTTCTATCTTCATGGGGACCAAACCAGACCAAGTTACACAGTGCACCTTTTAAGATAAATAATCTTCACCACAATAAACATTTTATGTTTTTTTTTTTTTATCTTGCAGAATCTCCAGACCTTTCAGAGCTTGAGCTGCCCTGGCTTCTCTGCACCGGACCCTTTCCCTCTCCCGTCTTTTGACATTCGCCCCACTCCGGACTTCAAACCTGCCTGTGAGCCGAGACTGGAGCCACGACAGGAGGAGAGCGAGGACCTGTCATACGAGGAGGACAGCGACTCGGCGTGTAGCGTGGACTCGCGCTCCCACTCCCCCGATGTAGCGGACAGTAAAGCGCACGCCCTCTGGAAGGATGAGTGCGCCACCCAGAGAGACATTTTCCAGCTGGGAGGAGAGTTGGATCTCGACCAGATAGAAAGAAACTGAACATTTTATAGAAGACTGTAAAAGACTGAACAAAAAAGGTTACAGAAAGTTAAAGAATGCATTCAAGTTTGTGATGAGAGAGAAATAGTTTGCGTTCACAAGACATTATAGTTTGAAATTGAGCTGGAGGTCAGGTCAGATTTCTATGGCAGAATGTGCTGTTTAACTGTCAGATTGCAGACTTGTTAATCTGGTTTATGGTTAATAAACCTGTTTTGTTTCATGTTGATAGGCCCTGAATTATAATGTTCAACATTTTGTCTGTTAGTATAAAAAAATGAAAGTGAAATTACTTTTTCACAATGGCCATTATTCAACCCCAAAGATGTGATTGTTATCAGTAGAAAGGACTGTAAATGAGAATACTTTTGAGAGAGAGAGAGAGAGAGAGACGTTTCTGATCTGAGGGAAATTCAAGTTTTGTCTCTAACAAATTATGATAGTGGTTCAACATTTGTAGATAAGATATTTGGATAATTTTTGCAGAAACCGTGAATCTCTAATGGAGTTATACAGACCTGTGTCCTCCATCTGAAAATATGACATCAAACTTGAATACATGAACGCAACCTATAAGGAACAGCAATAAAAAATGAAAGGACAGTTGGACAAGTGATTTTGAGAAGGATTTGGTATGTTGTGGACGGATGTAGACTTTGAACATTCTTACTGTTTAAATCAAATGCAGTCAGTGATATTAGTTCTTTTTTAAATTGGGTGTTCAGCTTAACTCAGGAGTGGGAAAGTGAGGGTTAGTCTTAAGAAAACAAAAAAAACAAAAAACACCAGCCCCCAGCAGCCCCCACTGTCTCTGTGACCTGATGACCTTTCCGGAGCTGGCTAATGTTAGATTTGTAGTTGTACTGTAGTGTATGTAGGCTCTCCTCAATTGAATGATGGGTAAAAAGAGAGAAGCATCTTGTACACTTGACCCTTCTGTCCATTTTTTTTTATTTTTGTGCGCACAAGAGAATCTGACTTTGCTGAATGTAGACTTGATAAGCTTTAAAAAGGACAGTAATAACAAAATGGCAGTGCCTTCTTTTGGATGCTTGCATTACCATTTCAAGAATCTAGCCTTTGAGAAAACCACAATGTATGACCTTTTTTGTAGTTTCTTAATATGCAAAGTGTATATTGAACGAAAACACTGAATCTTCTGTTTTTTCAGTTCTAATTTCAGTGTATATTTTTCTAAGGATCCGTTTTTTATGAGCTGTTTGTGAAGGAGCAAGAATGTACAGCCTCTCTTCTAACAGAATGAAATAAATTTGCAAATTGCACAGTGTTGTGTTGTTTCTCTACATTACCAGTGTTGGGAAATAACTGAATATATGTACACAGAATACGTACTCTGATTACAAATTTGGAGTAACTGTAGTCTGGTACAATTACTCTTTCATTGGGTGTTATTCAGAATAGTTACTAAAATCAAAGGAATACATTGCAGTACTTGATCTCACAATTTCGGCTTTGGTGCATTGTGTAACATTTCTGGTGAAGGGTGTGTTTTCTCTGTGAAGATGTTATTGCTTTCTCTGGAATGTTTCACTGTATGGTATTAAACTTTTTGATCTGCAACAAGACCAAACCAAACCAGACCAAGTCACAAGTCAGATCTGTGGAGAAACAACCCCATCCAGTCAGAATGCATGTTTTTGAATGCAAGGTAATGTGAGCTGTTTAATGCCATACAGTGGAACACTCCAGGCAGAGCAATGTCATATCCATAGAAAAAAGCAGATGATAGACCCTCTGCCAGAAAAGTTCCACAATGCACAGAAACTGCACAGAATCAGTGAGAAAAATATAAATCACTGCTCTCGTGGTGAGTGCATGTGTGATTCTTTCTTCTCCAGTTAGTGACAGGAAATGCAACAGTGAAACAAATAGAAAGCTGTTTTAGTTCTGTGTTGTGTCTTTACACTATAATTTACATGCAACTTGACATTTTTAAGTTTTCAGAGTAAAGTACTCTGATTAGCCCAAGTATCAAATAAAAAATACATTTTAATGCCGGTATTCTATAATGCAATATATTTTCAAAGTATTGTCCCCATCACTGTACATTACCCAAAGTATCTGTTCGGGCTAGCTTTGATCAAGAGACCTCGGATAACCCACTTACAACTGTTTGCCATCAAGAACTGGAAATGTAATCAACAATCAAAGCTACATTAAAAGCACTTAGAGACGCTATTAAATTCTCCTGTCCTGCATTCTTTCCATGTTTAATAACCCAAACAATTTGATAAGAAGGATAGCACTGAAACTGGCATGTGAACGTTAAATGTCTTTTGATGGTTTGAGCCAGAAATTAGTCTACTAAATAGATTAGTAAGAATAAAATGAAAGCACGTTAAATCTCAATTTCAAGCTTCAAAAAGCTGGGCAATAAACAATAACAATAGTGATTACTAGTACTCACTATTATCATTACGCATTTCTTTGTGTGCACATTAAAGGGCCATCTTACACTTTTTTCTGATCTATATTAGAATGTTGTTATCTCATCATACCCGGAGTTGTGTTTTGTTTCATTCACACGTTTGAGTAATCCTGGTTTATTCCTCTGTCTACATCTCCAAAGCTCAAAATGCTCTGTTCCACTCTGTTTTCAAGTTAACAACTACCTTTTTACCTTTAGTTTGGTAGAGATAGACAATTTCAGAGTTGAAATCATCCACATGATTCTAATGAAGGTGTATGGAGTTTAAAAACACAATGGAGCACTTCCTATATTACCACATGACATCACAAGTGCAGAACAGAGTGTTTTCTGTTTAAGAAAACAACTCAGCCTAAATATGTAGGGTTTGTATGTTAAACATGTGTGAATGAAACAAAACAACTCAAGGTGTGTTTTGATAAAGATGAAATATTATATTATAACAGATCAGAAAATAGTGTAATATGGGCCCTTTAAAATAAAAAGATGGTGGTGTATGAGGAACCGATTATGTGGTTTAGCGGATTTGAAGTGAAAGGGAGATTAATTGGCAAGAGGGGCGAGGTGTGAACTGCCAAACTACCACACCTGAGACACTGGTAAACTGTCTATATCAATAATATATAATAATAATAATAATGACCTAATACTAATCCTATAATCCATTGCCTTGCTTTCACAATTACCGGTCAGTGAGTTTACCAGCCTAATTGTGTCATTCCCTTGTACGCTGGTCCAAACAAAAGCAAAGGAAACATGGCCTCGTGTATGGACTGACCTTTGAGTGAGCAGCGGAGGTGATGTCAGCCCAGTCTGCCCAGGGATTTCCAGCTCAGACAGACCCTCACGTCAGAGCGGGACCCTCTCAAGTCCGTCCAACAGCTCAAAGCACCTGCCACCTCAAGTAGGTTCCTTTAAAGTGCATTCAAAGTCTCACGGTGCACCAGGGAGGCTGTTTGCTTAAACCAGTCCTAGGCCAGTCCAGATTGTTTTTCCGACACTGGGAGGAAAGTGCAGTGTGTTTACGCTCCAAAACAGGATGTTCCAGCCACCGTCGGCCTTTCCTTTGATAATAGCCTTGAAGAAAGGTGGATTCCAATTTCTTAAACACAGTCAGAGGCAGATTAATGTAGCACGCTCAGCAGTATACCAGTAATGTTGATATTAAGTTGAGAATATATTTAAAATAAATATAAAGTGCTGAATTTGACACAGCCTGTTTTACTTTATAGATTATGATTCAAATGGAGCTTGGATTTCCATAGTTCCACATTGCTCTTCTTATGTGACTACTTAAAGGTCCTGTATTATACAAAATTCTTGTGAGAATCTCTTGTGAAATTTAAGACATATTATAATGCTGTTACCACCTTCAAAAACATACCCGGAGTTGTGTTTTGTTTCATTCATACATGTTTGAATAACCCTTTATTATTAGTCTGTCTACATCTTCAAAATGCTCTTTTCGATCTTGTGAGGGCATGAAGTGTTAGTTTTTAGGTCAACAGTTTTTAGTTTTTTAGTTCAGTAAAGAGAGGCAATTCCAGAGCTGAAATTATACAAATGATTCTACTGAGCTGGAGTTTAAAAACACATTGGAGCACTTCCTTTATTACCACATGAAATGAACCAAGTGTTTCAGCTTTAAAAGATCTATTCGGATCACACTACAACTTCAGCACTTACTCAAAATGCAGGCATATTATTCAACTAGATTTGAAATTATTTTCTTTTAATGACGGCTTGGAAGCATTCACTTACATTCTCCTAATATTTGCATTTCACTTGAGCCCTTTAATCTGTGACAAGGATCTCACACTATTTATGGAAAAGGAAATCTTTATAAATTAAACAGAGCCAGTGGCTATTGACTAATCTTCCACACCTGATCAGACAGACTGGATCAAATAATTACAGTGTGGTCATTCACACATTAATACACTGTGGGCAAACTACTCAACAGTTCTAGTGATGGGGGCCTTGAACAATGAGTTAAACAGCTGGATAGTGTTTTCAAACACAAATTCAGTCAGGCCCCTTCCTCTAGAGTTTAGAAGTCTTGAGTCATACTTCTCCAAAAGAAATCTAATAAAGCACAGATGACAATTGTGACAGTGACCAGGTCCTTGAAAAGGAACAGATCCTGCCATCAGTGACTATAGATTTAACTATCTTTCTTTCCGCTTTCACTTTTGTTCTTCAACACACAACATCTCTCACAAAAGCCTGGAAATATAAAATCCTGTGGCTATAAACAGCAGTTTGGTAACAGACTGGCCCCAGAGGTCAGAAAACCACATACACAAACACACATTTCCTTTGCAGGCAGGAAGTGGTAGAATAAGCAATGGTGGGAGGTTTAATATCTCAATAAGAAAAGGGAGCTATAAATAGGGAGTATTGTAATAGTAGGCCTGCAGTTGTAGACATGCAGGGGTGAGAGGCGTACAGGAAAGGCCACAGGTTTACAATACCATGAAGTCCACAGCCTCAATGTGGGATAACATTGGCTGAGTTTTCAAAGAAGCTGTGTCAGCTCGAGGCACTTCACAGGAGCTCTCAACAATGACATCACTGTGTTTTATCCTATCACTTAGATGCATTTAGATCCAGTGACTAAACAATCAGTTTTCCTTGGTTTAACTGTATCAACGTCTTTCAGTTTTAATTTTGTGTTTGAAGGCCAAAGTTTGGAGTGTCACCACCACTTGCTTTGTTTTTGTTTTGTTTTTGTTTTTTACACTGAATGAGCGTTCCATATCTCTCTGTACCGTGACAGTGTATGGTCAAGCAAGCTATGAACTGGCTAACCCCTGGTTCATGGTCAGACCCACTGTGACACTGACATTCTATTCATGGGTTTCAGTCACATGGCTCAGACTTCTTCCAATTCAAAAGATAAAATTTTTTGCTTAGATTAGCTATGGCAGTGGTACAGATTTTTCCTAAATTGGAAACTTTGAATGAATAGCCAAATTCACACAGTTCATAATAATACTCTTATATAATATAATATCCTAAACGCTGTATTTGACTGCTCTCCTATATGTGTTTGCAGGCACCTTTAGCCCCACACAGACAGGTGGCCGTCCGTGTCGAGTGTCACTGATTGACTATTCCCTGACTCCCAAAGGTGTCAGTGTTCAGCCTGGCGCTTTGTCGCCATGGTTTCCACGAATGCAAAAACCTCCTGTCCGCATCTCACTGTGATTTACATCCTCGTAAAACAGCAGAAATTGCTAGGTTTTGAAGTATGCCACCCAAGTGTATGCTAGACCTCCCTCTGCTAGAGGCTTGGAGACATTTCAAGAAACAGAACTCCCCACTCTGAATGAAATAGAAGCAGTACATTGACATGCATGCTCTAACGGATTACAATACCCTGTGTGAGTTTTGGCTGCATACACCACCAAAACAAGACAATTATTGCAAAAAGTTTAACATAAATGTCAACGGCGCCTATTAAGTAAACTGATGTCTGAACATTGTTTTTCTATGGACTTTGAAGTCTGTGTTGCACTAAGAGATGATACGTTACGCCTTTCGTGTTACTTATCTATCTCACAGAGTAACAGGAAACGCATGTGTTTTGTAAATACACCAGTGTAGGGGTGCCCTCTTGCAGAGTCTGTGGTTTTAGAACTTTCTATTTGATCAGCAAAATAAGTTTCCATTTAACATAACAATATACTGTATGTGTTCAAACTCTTTGATGATGTGTACGTGTTCAAATGCTGTACTATAGTGTCTTGGTGGTTCCTCCTGTGGAGATAGCTGAAGTCACAGAGAGATGATATCCTGCCTTTGGTTGTCAACAGCCACCAAAACCCCAAG